TTAATTTGCAACTCTCGACTGGAGTCCTGGTGTGGCGCTGTGGGTTAATGTGTCAGACTACAAACCTGTTTGAACTGCAAGATCGGCGGTTCAGGCTCACCAGCTGCTCCTCAGAAACCCTATACAGGGTCACTAGAGGTCTGAATTGACTCGATGGTACTTAACAACAACAACATTGGTTAATGATCTTCATATGCTGTGGGCCTGAATGTCTTCTTTAGTGAAGTACGTCAGAACAGCTCTGAATGTGAGCTGTGAGAAATGTAGCACCCAGTTTTCCCTGTACACTCAAGAAATCCCCACCTTAGCCTGTATCGTGCTTCTGAGAAAAAAAAGGCTGTTACCTGCTATATGGTAGCAGGGCCACCTGTTCTCTGTGTGGATCACTCAGAGGGAGCTGGTGAACCAGCCACCTCGGAGAGAAGTTTCCCCTTCCACAACTGTGCTGAATGGCATGCCCACCCTTTTTGGAAATCATTTATGGTCTTGAGGTTGCCTTGACTAATTTCATTACTCTGTTAGTTCGTATCTATCTATATCTCCAAATTTACTCCAAGAGCAGCTTCAGTTTCTGCCTGGGCTTAGAAAACTTGACAGACTTTGAGATCATTTGAAAGGCCTGGCTCAGATACCTCTTTATCCAGAATTGGGATAGAGGCATGGGTGTTGGAGCAGGAAATCCAGCAAAACTTAATGCCAATTTTCAGCAGTTTTGTTTCTGGTCTCTGTACTCTGTACTCTGGAGTCCAGTGGGGGGAGTGATTATGGAAGACCCCATATTAGCCTTCCCCAGTGAGACACATAATTGTCAGTGGTCCCCAAGAGGAGCTTGTGTTGATGTCTCCAGAGAAGATACTGGAAAAGTTCTTGGTGGTGAATTTATTCAAATGTCTTGGGCACAACTGAAATGAGTCATGTGTTTCCAGTGACCAACTTCATGTGGGAGGTGGGAATCCATTTCTTAAAAGAACATGGAAAAGGATAGCCTCCTTAGAAACTGTCTTCCAAGGACACCCCACCCCACCCCTGCCCCTACTCTTCCTTGTGGCTTCTCCACTAAGGTATTTTCCTTCCTTCTGAGAGTGGTTAGAAGGACTCATCCCGAGGTCAGGGTGTTTGAGTGCCAGGAATGTGTTAGGCTGACTGTTCTTCTACCGTGTCCAGAGAGCCATGTCTGCACACTACTAGCCTCTCAGTAGATGCTTAGACCCTGCTGTATCATTCAACTTAAAGATGGTTACAATGGAAAAGTTGTTGTTCTGTGTATTTTACTAAAAGAGAAAGGAAGGTAGGGGTCGGCAGTTTATTGGTCCCATCTACCATGTTAGAATCAGTCAGATTCCCCCCAGATCTTAAGCTATCAAACTCGTTCTCTCTTTCTTCTGTAGCTATCCCCTCTAGAGCCTTCTGTTTAATTTCTGGGAACCTCATGCTACAGCACCTAACTGGACTGAGGAACCAGCCAATGAGGAAAGCAGCCTGCTTTGTTGCGGGATGGTCCGGGCATTCTCCTGGGACAGGAGTCTGGAAGGTGTGGGAAGTGTGAGATAAAGGAGTGTAGGATCCTCTTACTTCTGCTTTTCTCTGTAGCAGGATACATTTGTTCCCTCCAGAACAGGAAAAGGGCTCAGGATAAGAGCCCTATATTTAAATTTTGAAACAGTCGGAAATAGTTGTGTATAGGTATCATCACAGCTTTCCTGAGCCTTCTGGTGATTGGGTCTTCTATTTTGCCTAGTAGAATTTGAAAGGGAAAAATAATGCAAATTACTGGCCTCAACTTTGTCTTCTCTGATTCATGGAAGACAGCAGTCAGAAAAAGCGGCTTAGCTAGGAGCAGGAGACCTGTTTTCCTAGATTGGAAGTATGTATGACAGAAAAGCATGGCTTAGTGATCACATAGCACTTTTGCATGCCAAATGTCCCTCAGTGGTATTAGAATGGTAAACCACTCCAGCTTACCAGCTAATGCGCTGAACCCAACCCATTGGCATTGAGTCGATACCGACTCATGGTGGGTGACCCTATGAACAGAGTAGAACTGTCCCAGAGCATTTTTAAGGCTGGGAATCTTTACTGAAGCAGACTGCTGTATCTTTCTCCTACAGAGCTACTGGTGGGTTTGAATCGCTGACCTTTGGGTTAGCAGCTGAGTGCTTAGCTACTGTGCCACCAGAGTTTCTTGATATAGTAGATCAGCATTATAGAGGTATTCTTTTCTTAATTGTAAAATACAAGGCGCTGTTGTATATTGTTGTTGTTAGGTGCCATCGAGTCCGTACCAACTCATAGCGACCTTATGCACAGCAGAACGAAACACTGCCCGATCCTGGGCCAACCTCACTACTGTTGCCATGATTGAGTCCATAGATGCTGCCACTTTGCCAGTCCATCTTGTTGGGGATCTTCCTCTATTTCTCTGATCCTCCACCTTACCAAACATGGTATCCTTCTCCAGTGACTGGTCCCTCCTGACAATATGTCCGAAGTATGAGAGACGAAGTTTGGCCATCTTGGCCTCCAAGGAGCACTCTGACTGCACTTCTTCCAAAAGGATCTGTTGGTTCTTTTGACAGCCCAAGGCACTTACAGTATTCTCCTCCAACACCATAACTCAAAAGCATCAATTCTTCTACAGTCTTCCTTATTCACTGTCCAGGTTTTGCATACATATGAGGTTATTGAAAATACTATGGCTTGGGTCAGGGGCACCTTAGTCCTCAAGCTGACATCTTTGCTCTTCAACACTTTAAAAAGGTCTTGTGTAGCAGATTTGCCTAATGCAATACGTCATTTGATTTCTTGACTGCTGCTTCCATGAGAGTTGATAGTTGATCCAAGAAGAATGAAGTCCTTGACAACTTCAATCTTTTCTCCGTTGATAAGAATGTTGTTTATTGGTCCAGTGGTGAGGATTTTTGTTTTCTTGACATTGAGATGTAATCCATACCGAAGGCTGTGCTCTTTGATCTTCATCAAGAAATGTTTTAAGTCCTCTTCACTTTCGGCAAGCAAGGTTGTGTCATCTGCATATCGCCGGTTGTTAATGAGTCTTCCTCCAATCCTGATGCCACGTTTTCCTTCATAGAACCCAGCTTGTCGGATTATTTGCTCAGCATACAAGTTGAATAAGTATGGTGAAAGAATACAACCTTATCGCACACCTTTCTTAATTTTAAACCATTCAGTGTTCCCATGTTCTGTTCAAACCACTGACTCTTGGTCCAGGTACAGATTCCTCATGAACACAATTAAGTGTTCCAGAATACTCATACTTCGCAATGTTGTCCATAGCTTGCTATGATCCACACAATCAAAAGCCTTTGCGTAGTCAGTAAAGCACAGGTAAACATCTTTCTGATATTATCTGCTTTCAGCCAAGATCAGCAATGATATCTCTCGTTCCACAGCCTCTTATGAGTCCAGCTTGAACCTCTGGAAGTTCTCTGTCAATGCATGCTTGCAGCCGTTTCTGTATTACCTTTAGTAAAACTTTACTTGCATGGGATATCAAAGAGATTGTCCGATGATTTCTGCATTCCGCTAGGTCACCTCTCTTTGGAATGGGCACAAATGCAGATCTCTTCCAATCAGTCGGCTAGATAGTTGTCTTCCAAATTTCTTGGCAGAGATGAATGAGTGCCTCCTGTACCTCCTCACTTTCTTGAAAGATTTCAATTTTTAGTCCATCAATTCCTGGTGCCTTGTTCTTTGCCATTTCCTTCAATGCACCTTGGACTTCCTCTATCAGTATCATTGGCTCTTGATCATATGCTACCTCTTGAAACGGTTGAACATGAACCATTTCCTTTTGATACAGTGACTGTGTATTCCTTCCATCTTCTCTTGATGCTTTCTTTCTGCATCATTCAATAGTTTGCCCAGAGAATCTTTCAATAACAAAAGTTGAGGCATGAATTTTTTCTTCAGCTCCCCCAGCTTGAGAAGTGCTGAACGTGTTCTTCCTTTTTGTTTTCTGATTCCAGATCTTTGCACATTTTGTTGTAATATTTGGTTTTATCTTCTTGAACTGATCTTTGGAATTTTCTGTTCAGCTCTTGGACCTCCTCATTTCTTCCATTTGCTTAGCATCTCTATGCTGGAGAGCAAATTTCAGTGTCTCTTCTGACATCCATTTTGTATATATGTTGTATATTTTGTATATCTATTGTAAAGCTGTTGTATATCTCCTGAGAAATAAAAAGCGCCTTGAGTCTTGATTTACTCCTGTGTTGAGTAAAGCAAATACTTACTATCTTCAGGATTGAAGGAAGGATTCTGTGAAAAAATAAACATAAAAATACCTTGCAGAATGCTTGACACTTCGTAAGCACCCTGAAAATGTCTGTTGACCTCTGTTGTAGAGATGTTGAAAATCATATGAAGTGATTGCTTTGAAGGTCCACCTAAACATAAAAGTACCGTGTCGATGTAGGGTAATGTTACCACTCATGATGGCTGGGAAGGGTGGAAATGGATATGGATGAAGGAAGTAGCCTCTTGTTCCTTGCCAGACCATTGAGGGGACCTTCTGACCTGCTACAGGTAGACAGGTAAGGGGAGGCACTGATGAGAGGAACAGGGTCGCCCACAGAGATGGAGCGAGATGTAGAACCTGTTGCCTTTCCCTAAAACCTCAAGATTTGGCTGATGGGGTGACCGTTTTCCTAGGTTCATCCTAGGATGGAAGGAAGTAGTGAGAAATGAGGAAAAGGAATTTGAGTAGAAAGACATTATTAAGGAATTATTGTATTCAATAATAATTGACATTATAGGGTTTATTCTGGTTTGTGGTTAGTCCAGGGTTCTGGTCACATGTATTCTAGTGCTGTGCTCCATCTCTGGAGTTTCCTTCTTCTTAGGAAGGGACTTTGTTTGCCTCAGGGAGCTCAACTTCCATGGCTATGGTCCATCAGAGTCACATCCTGACCTCGAGTCTCCTGTCTCGAAAGCTGCATGTCCAGGGCTGTGTTGTCAAAGTCCTTGTTTCTACACTCCAGGCTCCCAGAATCCTGGCCGAAGCTCACCTCCCCCTGGTTATGTGCCAGAGCGCCAGCAGCGCATCGCCCGGCAGGGCTCCTACACCAGCATCAACAGTGAGGGGGAGTTCATCCCAGAGACCAGCGAGCAGTGTGTGAGTATGGGGGCAAGCTGTGACCCTGGCTGTGTCAGACCAGCAGGACAGTGGGGCTTCCTCAGTAGATAGGGCACAGGACTGAGGGCCCTTATAAACCAGACCTGCCAGAGATGGGATCGAAACTACCTAGTCTCATTGGTGTTGGTTAAGCATGTTTCCTCTTCTGTAGTCATCTTGCTGATTCTCCTGCAGAACACCACTGTGATGTGTATATACATCCTTCCAACCATCCCTCGTGTCAGCAGAATTTTAACATAGTACTACTAATCCTAAAAGGTCAGGTTTTGCTTTTCATTGGCTCTGTTTTACTTTTGCAATGGTGCCAGGTTGAGAGTAACCAATATTTAAATTACATTGTGGGTTTGGTTACTTTGGGTGAACTTTTGTGATGGTTGTTGTTGTTGTTGTGAAATGCCGTTGAGTCGATTCCGACCCATAGCGACCCTGTATAGGGTTTCCAAGGAGCAGCTGATGTGCTTGAACCACCGACCTTGCAGTCTGCTACATTAGCCCACAGCGCCACACCAGGATTCCTGATGATGGTAGACAGCTGTATTATTTATCTATTGGAGCTGTGGGATAATGCTCTGGACCACAAGGTCAGTTTGAGCCTCCAGGTCAGCAGTCCAGCTGTAGGATAATGTGCTGGACCACAAGATCAGTTTCAACCTCAAGGTCAGCAGTTCAAACCCACCAGCCACTCCTCAGAAACTCTATACAGGGCAGCTAGAAGCCACAATTGACTCATTGGCACTTAACAGCAACAACATAACAAATCACCACCAACGTAGTAGCTTAAAACAGCATGCATTTATTGTTTCTCCGCTTCCCTCCTCACGGGTCTGGGCATGACATAGCTGCTTCTCCACTCAGGGTCCCACAAGGCTGCAGTTGAGGTGCTGGCCCAGCCACACTCCTTCTGGAGCTTGGGGGTCTCTTCCACTCTGCTCACAGCTGTGTGGCAGAGTTCAGCTCCTGTAGCTGTCGGACTCTCTTCCCTGGTTGTTGTTTTTTTTTTTGCTGACTCCCAGTCAAAGGCTGCTCTTCTCTCCTGGAGGCTACATGGCCCACTCAGACATGGCCGCTCACTTCTGGAAG